AGATAAAGAACTAGTTCGTTCAATCGAACTAGATAGGCACAACTCTAGTGGAGGGTATAAAAATATAGATAGACAATCCGATTGAAAATTTGAAACAAGAAACCATAATATGGTATGAGTATTTTGTCCTTGTCCATTTCTTTATAACATGGGGAAGGAGGCGAGAAAGAACCATATTTATTTTGAGGATATTTCATAGTATCACTTTCTGAGTCGATTTATGCATGTCAGTTCGTCTGTCCATGTATTTTTGTGAACAAAATGCAGGTCGCATTTATTATCCGATTGAGATGAAATTTTTCAAATAATATTTGTTTGGCTCAAGGATGAACCCTATTGAAATCGGTTCAAATTTATATATAGCTCCCATACATATATCCTCAACCGATTTCGGGTTAATCGTTTACCAAATCTCTAATATCAGTCCAAATGGACTGAATTTCAGTCTAGAAGCAAGTACATCAAATTTGCTGAAAATCGGTTGAGATACAGCTATAGTTCCTATATATATGTTTAATCCGATTTGGAAGTTCCTCACATGCGTAATATGCATTCAACAACAATGGTCTTTGGTACAAGATATCAGATACAGCCCGGAAAAACATCTGTCAAATTTTATCGAGATCGGTTCAGATTTGTATATAGCTGCCGAATATATCTTTATCCGATATCAGGCTTATGTAAGCCCAAATGGAAGTGTTGGCACCACCGACGAACTTCAGCCCAGAAGCAAGTACTTAAAATTTGGTGAAAATCGGTTAAGATATAGCTATTGCTACCATATATATGTTTCATCACATGCGTAATATGCACTCCACAACAATGATCTTTGGTACCAGATATCAGATGCAGTTCGAAAAGACCGATTTAAATTTTTATATACCTTCGATATACATCTCCATCAGATTTTCCGGTTATTGTCCAACATATTTGTAATATCACCCCAAATTGAATTGGGCCGGTAAATATTTTTCAATGTAATCCTTAGGAAGCCATGTGCACTATACAACAATATTATTTGGTACTAGAGGTACAAATTTGTTGAAATCGATTCAGAGTTGGATATGGTTCCACAAATTGTTACTACTCTAAAAGCATTCTACAAATTCAATAATGGTAATAATGATACACATTCTACTAAATGTGTATAGCGGTGTAGGTTATCATATAGTCGGCCCCGTCCGACTTTTGACCTTTCCTTACTGGTTTTGTATCCCGAAATTGAGAATCTAAGCCCCAGCCTCACACGCACACTCATTGCCACGGTTAATCATTACTTGGTAAGGAGTAAAATAACTTAATCTTGTGATGTTTTTTGAATAATGACCTCAATACAGGGTGAGAGAAAAACATGCAACAAAGTCAAACGCCATAATTTTCACATTTTTTTTTTTAATTTTATTGAATGAAAGCAAAAAATGTCGGGAATAGCACAAAATTTTAGAATAAATTTAGATTTGTTCGAATTGGTCACCTTTGGCACGAATTCTGGCCTTCAAACGGTGCTTAGTCCTGTTGGAATGTCCAAGGTCTGCGGACAAAATGTTTGTTTGCCCAAGGCTTTAATACACCCACCAGGATATTTTCGCGATAATATTCGTTATTTATTCTGTTGCCACGTTCTATTAATACGAGCGGAGAGCGATCATCGGCTGTTATGGCGGCCCACACCATTACATGGCAGAAGAATACGGGTAGATGCATCAACGCTTGGGAGCATTGATATATCAAATGGTACTTCAGCTCTGGTGGCCAACCGACCTGACCTCTTTGGCAGGTAAATACGATCATCTTGTTTGTTTACAAACTGCTGAATAACGAATGTTTTCTCATCGGAGAAAACCAAATTCGGCAGTTTTTGGAATTTCAATGGCTTTGCCCCGAGCTCATTTTTTAATATTTGCCGAATGGAATATTGCGATATGTTCAGCTCACGAGCCATTTTTCGGCCACTGCTTTCGATCAAGCCGCTTCTTTACTTTTCGAACCATTTCTGCTGATGTTTCTGTTTTCTTCCGTCCACTTCCTTGTTGTCGGTCTACGCTGCCAGTATCACAGTAACGAGCGATGGTACGAGACACAAAAGATTTATTCACATTTAAATGCTGGAGTGACCTAACGATAGTCACTTGCGGTTTTCCAGCCAAATATAAAGAAATCACACTATCATCACGAATAACTATTTTTCTGGAAAATTCTCACTAAAGTGCTTGTGTACGCTTGTAAACAATATAACGAGCTATCGCTGAAATAATTTTAACAGCTGACGGGCGAGTGGCTTAGAAGAGACGGGAGTCTGAAAATGGTTGCAGGTTTTTCGTCTCAACCTGTAGTCGGTACATTTTAATATTTATATCCAACTAATGTCAGATACGAACTGGAAAATATAGGGTCACATATTTAAATAACCGAACATTGGTTAAGAGTATTCAGCAGTCGGCAATACCGACTGATTCTATTAAACTTGTTTTTATATTTATCAAATGTGATTTCGTTATTATTTGAAATTATTGTCATTCGTTTTTTTTTTTTTTTGGAATAAGTTTTTGTACATTTTTGTACTTTTAAGTCTGAAATTTCCAAAATAAACCATAAGAAAACGAAACATTTTCATAAATTTGAAGTTCTCCTCATCCTTGATATGTATGAACCAAGTGAAACGCACAAGATTTAAAAGCAGACTGAATAATTAGATTAGCTTTATTGAATGACATACTTCAACAAACGGGATATAATAATAACAACAATTGAATAACAAAGAAGAGAGGGAGAGAGTGATACAGGGTGTTCTAAAATATGTATCATTCCCTCCCCAATATAAATAAGGAGATATAATTTCAAATAAATCTTATAATAATTTTCAATATCAGTATTATGATATAATATATAATTACAAATAATTACAAATTATATAATTTATTTTTTTTTTTTTTTTTTTTTTTTTTTATAATTTACAAATTATACAATGTATGACTAAATATAATAACAAAATAAACATGCAACTTTAATTTTCATCCACGCTCTTAAATATTGACAAAAAATGCATTAAACTCTCTTCATGCAATTTATCATTCATTTATAAACTATCATCATCTCTTTCATTTTCTTCTCTTTTCTTTTTAATTCTTTCTGAGCGTCTTAATTCTACTTCACTTGGTATATCAATACTTCTTTGTCTTTTTCTATTATTATCTCTTCGATATGTTATATTTGAATAATATGGTCTTGCTCTCCCACAAAACTTTTTCAATTGATTAATATGTGCCACTCTTCGCTGGCCATTGATGCTAATACAATATCTTATTGTACTTAATTGTTTTACGATTTTTGCAAGTATCCACTTATGATAATTATTATGTACATTTCTGTACATTACAACTTCATTAACTGTATATTCCGGTATTTTAGACTTTATCTCTTTTTGAACATTCTGTTTTATTACAATATTTACATTTTTGTGTTCTAAATTGTTGTTAGTTTTTGGGTTTACATGGTCTAACAATGTTTTAGGTTTAAATCGAAATATGGCAACTGCTGGTGCAATACCGGTCACTGTTGTTGGTGTTGTCCTGTATTTCAACAAGAAATTATTTATTTTGTAGTCCCATGATTTATGTAGGTATTTTGGATCTATCAAGTATTTCTTTAAACCAGTCTTAACAGTTTGTACGGCTCTCTCGGCGCTTCCATTGCTTTGGGGATGGTATGCGGGCGACTTTAAACATTCAATTCCGGAGTTTTCGCAAAAAGATATATATTCCCTTGACCCAAATGGAGGTCCATTATCGCTCACTACTTGTCGAGGTAAACCAAATGTTGCAAAGAACCCACGTAAAATGTCTATAAGCGCGCTAGCGTTTGTTGTTTTCATTATTTTGGCATCTATCCATTTTGAAAAAGTATCTACTATTACTAAAATAGTAACATTTTCAATTTTACAGAAATCTAAATGAATTCGTTCAAAAGGGTAAGTAACAGTAGGCCATGATGTTGTAATTTGTTTTGAGACATTCTGTGTTTTACAACATGTAGAGCATGTTTTTACATACTCTTCAACATCTTTATCCATTCCTACCCACCAGAAATATGTTCTAGCCAAACCTTTCATTCTAACTATACCAATGTGACTATCGTGCAATAGCTCAAGAACTTTGCATTGTAAAGTTTTTGGTATTACTATACGATCTCCATAGTACAAACATTCGTTTTCTGTTCCTAATGCCGTTCTTTTATCATAATATTTCATAAGATCTGCATTCAGATTTGCGGGCCACCCATACATTACAAATTGATAAATCCGACTAAGCTCGTTGTCCCTTTTTAATTCTTTGCGAACATCGTCCATATTTATTGGTATATCATCCAAAATATTGAATATATTAATACTATCCTCCTCCCCTTCAATTTCTTCAGCTAGAGGCAACCTTGATAGCGCGTCTGCATGACACATTTTTGAACCCTTTTTATAGCGAATGATATAATTATAAGAAGAAAGAAATATTGCCCATCTTTGCAATCTACTGGACGTTACAGATGGCAAATTCTTTTTGTCGGAGAATATTTCCCTTAATGGCTGATGGTCGCTCTCAATCGTAAATGGCAAACCATAGATATATTTATGAAATTTGCGAATTGCAAATACAATTGCGAGAGCTTCTTTATGTAATTGTGAGTAATTACGCTCAGCTGGTTTTAAGGTACTGCTAGCAAACATTACTGGTTGTTCTTTGCCCTCGATTACATGCGATAGTACCGCTCCTACGCCATAGGGACTTGCGTCACATGAAATTATAATTGGTTTGTTAGGGTCATAATGAGTTAACACATTAATATCTGTAAGAAAGTGTTTGCTCTTTTCAAATATAGTTTGATGTTTGTCCAACCATTTCCACTTAATATCATTTTTTGTTAAATCGTGTAGTAAGCGCAACTCTGAAGATAAATTTGGAATGCAATGGTTATAATAATTTATCATACCGAGGTATGACTTTAATTGACTTTTATTTGTTGGAGTTGGCGCGTTTATTACTGCCTGAATTTTTGATTTTGAAGGAGAGATGCCTTTAGAATTAATAGTATAACCCAAATAATCTATTTCTTCCTCGAAGAATTTACATTTTTCAAAATTTACCTTGACATTAAATTGCAATAATCTATCCAGTACATTTTTCAAATTAACTTCACATTCTCTTACATCTGATCCTCCGACCAAGATATCATCAAAATAAACTAAAGTTTTATCTAACCCCTTCAAAATTTCATACATAATATTTGAAAACAACTGAGGTGCTGTTTTTAACCCATATATTAAACGGGTGTATTGATACAGCCCTCGGTGTGTATTAATCGTCAGAATTTCTCTGGACCTTTCAGTTACTCCTACCTGAAGATACGCTCCCGTTAAATCAAGCTTACAAAAAATATTCCACCCAGACAAACTGGCAAGTATATCATCTACTCTGGGAATAACATAATGCTCCATTTCTACAAAACGATTTACAGTTCGACGGCAATCTACACAAATTCTTATTGATCCGTCACCCTTATTTGCTATTACAATAGGACTTGCCCACCTACTTCTGCTAACGGGCACTAATACACCTTCCTTGCACATTTTCTCCAATTCATCTTCTACCTTTTTCCTTAGACCATATGGCACTGGATACGGTTTGGAAAATATTGGATAAGCTTCATCGGTGAGGTAGATTTCAGCTGTGTAGTCCCTAATGGTTGAATTATTTGATTTCGAAAATAGTTGTGAATACTTTTCGAAATTGAATTTGTCTAATGAATTTAAACATTTTAATTCGCCAACTATATTTCTCCAATTCGGAGCACAAACATCCAACCAGTTTCTGCCCAGCAAAGGCGTGAAAGTTTGATCGCCGTCAAGCACATACAATTTAAGTTTCCACGAGTTACAATTAATTTCCACATTTACTAAAATTGCACCAACAACATTAACACGGTCACCGGTCACAACCTTAAGACATTTGGTATCCTTTTGCATTTCAATATGTCTCAAATACTTATTGTAATCATCTATATGAATGACAGAGACACAAGCTCCTGTATCAATTTCCATTTCTATTTCAAACTTCTCAATCATAATTTTAACTAATAATCTCTTATTATAATTGCATGCAAGAAAATTGTATAAATTATTTAAATAATCACTCTCACTATCGCTCGTATAATCATCAATATTGTTTACGGCATTCTTATTATTACCTCTTCGCTCTCTTTTGGGTCTCCTTTTGTTCCGAATCTCATCATTCCTCTTTATCCAGCAATTTCTCTCGATGTGACCTCTTTTGTGACAATAATAACACTCAATAATAGAAGTTTTGCGTTCTCTTTTGCTCTGCCTGCCTACTTCATTACCCGCCCCTTCATTTCCATTTCTTTGTTGCTGATCACGACTTCTAAATGAGTTGTTTTGCAGTACATGTACTGAGTGATTTCTTAACAAGTCTACTTGGTTCTGTGTCATGTCCAATGTCAGGGCAAGGTCACATGCTTTCTCAAACGAATTGATTGAAGTATCATTTAATAATCGATTTTGGATGACATCATTATTTAACCCGCAGACAAATTTGATCAATAGCGCTTTATCAAGAAATGTTCCAAAATCACAGCTTTGGGATAATTGTTTCAATTCTACAATGTAGTCAGATATGGTCTCAGATGGATGCTGGTCTCTTTTAAAAAATTTAAAGCACTCAACAATGATATTCTTCTTCGGCTTGAAATGAGCTGTAAGTTTTTCAATAATGTTCTCAAATGTGAAATTGTCTTCGGTTTGCGGTGATAGAAGTGAACATAAAGTTTTATACAGCTCAGGACCACCTAGGCTTATCAAAACGATTTCTTGTCTGGATCGTTTTTAATTTTATTTAATAACAACAAGTGCTTTAATCGATTGGCATACAAATTGAAGTCTTCACCAATACTGAAAGGCTCAATGCTTCCAATTATTGCCACTGGTTTGTCATCCATTACCACTGTTTTTTTTTTTTTCACTTTTGCCTCGTCGCCAAATGATATGTATGAACCAAGTGAAACGCACAAGATTTAAAAGCAGACTGAATAATTAGATTAGCTTTATTGAATGACATACTTCAACAAACGGGATATAATAATAACAACAATTGAATAACAAAGAAGAGAGGGAGAGAGTGATACAGGGTGTTCTAAAATATGTATCAATCCTAAAAGACCATATTTATGTAAAAATGTTGGAAAAACCAAGTCCATCTTTTGGAGGAAGATCCATAAGAAGTCATTTACCAAAAAGGGTTAAAAGGGGGATATACCAATAGCAGTCATACATAAGGAACAAAAACGAGGAAGGTAGGTGCCATTATATATTTTATGGTCCGAAATTTTATTTGAAAGGAAAAGAGCGTAAGTGCAGGTGTATATGACATTCAAACTATAATATTGAATAAATCTGGTGCGTATAATGAAATTCCTAATACGGGTTTGAGTTCAGTATAAAATCTTTCGTTGTTTTTCTGATACAAAGTAATTAGCGTTCTATGAGGCGTTTTGAAGAATTTTTCATTTTCATTGCGAAAACATGCTGTTCTTATTCTTCGTTCTATAGAATATGTTCTTCAAAGTATTTTATACCCTCTACCATACATGATATGGAGGGTATATTAATTTCGTCATTCCGTTTGTAACTTATCGAAATAATAATTTTAGACCTAACAAAGTATATATAAAGCGTAAGATTCTAAGACGATTTAGCCGTGTCCGACCGTCTGTCCGTTTGGGGTAATTACGCTAGAGTTGAAACGAATTATGATAGGATGTTAAAATTTTACAGAGATCAGTCTTCTGTCTGTAGGCAGGTCAAGTTCGAAGATGGGCTATATTATTTCACGATATCGTCCCCATCTCCCGATATTCGGTATTTTGATAACTAGCCACATTTTTTAATGGAATCATCTGAAAATCGACACAACGAGTTCCTTCTGAGTACTTTACCGTCTGGAAGATAATTATAGGACTACGATATCGTATAGCCCCCTACAACGGTACCTCCCGATATTCGGCATTTTGATGATTGCAGCCAAAATTTTCATTGGAATTGTCTGAAAATCCGCATAAGAAGTTCATCTTGAGTACTTTACCAATTGAAAGAGAAATGTCTATATAGGTCCAAGATATCGTATAGCCCCCAAACAACGGTACCCCACAATATTCGATTTTAGGAACATTATTCACCGGAATTGCTTCAAATTTCGTATTTGAAGCTCATAATGGGTACTACAACTTATGACTGAAAACTGCCTATGTAGCACCACTCTTAATTTAGCTCTCATATAACAGCACCACCCTTTATTCGATATTTTGATGATATTACCGAAACTTTTTTTTTCGAGAATTGTTTCAAATTTCGTATTTAAAGTTCTTAATCGGTACTACAGCCTATGACAAAAATTAGTTATGCAGGACCACGTCTTCGTAAGGCCCGTTACATTACGTTTTCCTTTGGGCGGTATTTTCGATGGATGTTTTTTTTTTTGGGAAATTATAGTTCCTTCAAATTAGTAGAGGGTATTAAAAGTTCGGCCCGCCGAACTTAGTTGCTTTTTAACCCTCCACATGGAAGGGGAGGATATATTAACTTTGTCATTCCTTTTATAACATCCCTAAATATTGTCCGTCTGTCTGCTTAGAGCTTCAAAATTTAGCAGACCAATTGGTATTGTGTCTAGGATAGTTGGTATTGAAAATGAGAAAGATCCATTCACGTTTTGGTATAGCAGCCGTACCTCCCGATATTCGGTATTTTGATGATTTTTGCCACATTTTTTTGCGGATTTGTCTAAAAATTGGTATTTGTGGGTCATAATGGGTTCTAGCTCCAATGGCAAAACATTGTATGTATCCTCGCTGTTGTATTAAATTTGGTATTTTAGAAGATTTAATGGATGACAATCCTTAAGGTATAAAATTGCCTATAGAGGTTCCCGTGTTGGTATGACCCCATATAAAGGCCTCACTCACTTTAAGGTTTTTTGATAAATTTATCTGCATAATCCAAACGGTCTTACAGGTATATGAAGTTTAAAGTAAAACATGCTTGAATTCAGATACTTTTATATAAAAATGTTTCCTTTATCCTAAGGTGGAGGGTATTGAATGTTCGGCCAGGCCGAAATTAATGTTTTTTTTACTCGTTTACTTTTTATACCCTCCACCATAGTATGGAGGGTATATTAAGTTTGTCACACCTCGAAATATACATTTAGACCCCACAAAGTATATATATTCTTGATCAGCATAAAATATATTGTCTGTGCAGGTACCTCCCGATATTCGGTATTTTGATGATTTTAGCGACAATATTCACCGGAACTGTTTCAAATTTGGTATTTGATGTTCGTAATGGATGATACATCCTATATCAGGAGATTGTGCACGTGCACGTCTTCGTTTTCGTATAGCCCCCCAAATAACGGTACCTCCCAATATTCGGTATTTTGATGATTTTAGCTACATTATTACCGATTTTTTTAAGTTTCGCATTTGAATATTGTAATGGCTTATGACAAATGTTGCCTATGCAGGCCCATGTCGTCGTATAGACCCTAATATAGCAGCTACATTCGGTATTTTTAAAATTTTAACAAAATTTTTAAAGGATTTAATTGTTTTTGAGAATTGCCAAATTCGTTCCAAATGGGTATTCAAAGTTCGGCTCGGGGGAACTTACTGCTTTTTAACTTGTTTACTTTCATTCAATTAAATTAAAAAAAAAAAATCAAAAAAGTATGGCGTTTGACTTTGTTGCAATTTTTTTTTATCTCATCCTGTATATGCTTCATCCGATTTAAGAGTTCACATGCGTAATATGCACTCCAAAACAATGATATTTGATAATCTGTGAAATTTTATCAAGATTGGTTTAGATTTTTATATAGCTTAGATATACATCTCCATCAGCATATGTGTAATATCACCACCCCAAATCGGATAGATTTTTTCATATTCAACCGAAATTTACCATTTGGTGAAACTCGGTCCCTCGGTCTCGGTCATATCATTCACTATACAGCTATGTTATTTGGTACTAGAGGTATAAAAGCCTCCGTCAAATTTGTTGAAAATCGATTCAGAGTTGGATAGAGTTCCCAACCAAATAAGGTTCACAGTTGGTATGATCTACTTCACATAAGTCCCAAAATAAACTATTTTTGTTAGGGGAGTTCTACCAAATACGTATTTTGGTGTAGGGTATCATATAGTCGTCCCCGTCCGACTTTTGACCTTTCCTTACGGGTTTTGAAATGCCGACGTTGAGAATCTAAGACACAGCTCCACCCACACTATTGTTATAATCTTTGCTGTGAAAAATATTAGGTAATAGAACTTGAGTCGAACTTGGAGGGTTTCTGGTGTTTAATTCGGATATACTTAATCACAATAAGTTCGAAATAAATGCTTCTTTCCAGAGTACGACCCTTGAAAGACATCATCCACACCAAGTATGTCTGAAGAGCCGCTCAACCAGATGGGAAACGCGTTGCATAGTAGTGAGTGTGTAATAGTGTCTATCTGACTTTCCTTTTTACTGCAAATTTCAGATCATATCTTGTGATGTTTTGAGTAATGACCTCAACATACAACTTGTTATCATTACCTGGTAAAGTTGTATTCATTCCACACAGCTTTTAAATTCACAACAGACATCTTGAGTAATTTTCGAAGAAATCCTTTCATTTTTCTCAGTGCATGCGAACCATAATGCTCCTCGCTAAATGTATATGAATGGCTTGCAGCATTTAGCGTAGCAGTAAAACAGTGAAAGTAAAATTCCTCACACAGAGCAATTCTAAAGAATGTTCATTCAATTGGGTGTTTATGTGAGCGCCCCACTTTAATGTGTATGTAGAGAGGGTGTGTGTGTGCGTTCATTCCTTCGCTGGAAAAAAGAGATATTTTAGCGAAAGTTATGGCATTGCTGGGGTACTTAGTCGAGCTCATTGTCTTTGTTGATGCTGCTGCCGCTCCATAGTTAAAACTACTTCATGTCGCACGGCACGGCACGGCACGATGTAATGTAATTCGTTTACCACCCAGGGGAGTGGCAAC